TATTGTTTTAATTATAACTAACAGGAACAATTTATTTTTGTTTTACATTTTAAAATGTTGGTGATATTAGTTTAATTTTAATTAAATAGAATTAAGTGTTTAACAGAATAAAGTGAATTTTTATGTGATACTAAGTATTTTTTATATTATATTGATACAATATACATACATTTTATGAACATAATAATTACTACTAAGCACTATGGAACTATGATCAAATATCACGTATCTCCACTATATTGTCTGAATAGTAGAGACAATACCTCGTAAGTCCTAATTATAATTACTGATTATTTTAATTGTAGGTTKTATGAAAAATTATTTTTTCAAACATAATTTTGATAGCCTTTTTAAATATGAGGTTAATCTATTCCCGAAATTTGATTTTATAATTAGTTTTTTGTGTCTCCTGAAAAATTTACATTTTGGAGATACGTAGTATTGTTTTGGCAACGACGATTAAATATACATAAAAAAAAAATTTATGTTTCTCATACATGTAGTTATTTGAAGTAAGCAAACAAGATGCAAGTAATTAATCAATACATTATTTATAGTTTGAAATTAAAAATTCCACTTAAATAAGTTTGTATCTTCGAACTTTCAGTTGAGCAAATTCATCTACTGCTGCATTTAAGTTAACTTTGCCAGCATCTTCTTTTTCTAGAGCAATTACCATTAAATCACTCAAACGATCATTGCTCATAATAGTTCTAATGTAGGATTTCAATCTTTTGAGAGAAGAAAAGAACCTTTCATTAGATGCTGTRCTTATTGGGAGAGTAATAATAATGTGAAGAATTTTTATTGTTTCAATAAAAGCTCCAGAGTGAAGAGTCAGAGTATTCATTATAGAATACAAATCTGGTTTTAAAATATCTTTATTTTTTAACAATGATTTTGACATATTTTAACAATATTTAAGRTGGCATCACTTAATGACTGGGCATCACATCTTTTCATGTGGTAACATCCTAAAGTTTTTTCTTGAATATTTAAGTTTTTATCTAAAAATCGAATTAAAAAACTTAACTGTTCTTTTTTACTTGCATCTTTTGTTTCATCCACCAACACAGCATATGCACCAACATTATTTATGCTACTCAAAATATCACAATCACAACAGCTTGTTTCAAAATTATATTTGGAATCATTTTTTATGTAGTTAAATATTTATCTTATTAGGAACAAAAAGCAAATTAAATTAATTCTTAACTCATTACATATTTTTATAATTGTTGAGCTATCATAGTTATTTAACTCAAGGCTAATAAAAAATTTTTAAATTTTTTTGTGTACTCATGACAAATCTGCCATAATCTAATTGTATAATATAAAATTAAGTATTTCGAATTCATATTTTACTCACTTCAACTACTGTAGGTAACTGCATAGGTTTTTTAGAAAACATATCATTTAAACTATAATAAGTAGATGCGCTTTTGAGCAATAATTTGTTTTTCTTGTCTCTTAAACGAGCAGCACCGCCCTTTCTTTTACTTCCCTTATTAGAATTAATCTGGCTCATACTGAGGAGAATTCCAAAAATTTCGAAATGAACCTTAATAAATTAAGAAAAAAAACTGCACCTATATAGTCGAGCAGTCAGATAATCACTACTCAGTACCTACTCACTACTCACTAGTCACTATTCACTAATTAATAGTCAGTAATCAATCATCGATGGGATTGTGATAAAACGAACAAGTAATAACCATAGAGTAACAACTCTATGGTAATAACGATTATAATTATTAATAGTAACAAAATAATTCTTATTATGTACCACGATTTAAGATACTATCTTAAATCGTGTTATGTACCGAACACTGCCCAGGCCACGGATACCAACTATGGTAATACCCAGTGTTCGGACTTATCTAGATAAATTTATCTAGATATTTATCTAGATAGTTTTTTGTTCATCTTTTATCTTATCTAGATAAAYAGTTATAAGGTATCTAAACGTTTATCTTAGATAAATAATTTACTAATCTAAATAAATTCATCTAGATACTTTTTTTATTGATGAAAATCGTAAGAATTGGCCAAACGATTTTTTTTAATTTTTATTAAATGTATTATTTATAAATAATACAATTTATAATAATATGTACAAATGACGTAAAATAACGACTGTGTTAAACTCATTTCCCATTGTCACATATCGTCATATCGATATCGT